CACTGAAGCAATGAGCATGAAACTGAGCAAACTCAGGGAGGCAGTGACGGACAGGCAGGCCTGGAATGATATGGTTCATGGGGTCACGAAGAGTCAGACACGACTTAATGACTGAACAACAACAACAACAAAATCTGTCCACTGAGATGGGGAGGGAGAACGTGCATATCATGACATCATGATGTCAATACTGTAATTTATCTACTTGCATCAGACATCAGGACAGAACTAAGTAAGGGCGGGTTTTGCATCAGGATGTTGCCAGGCACATGTAATCAATCAAATAAAGCTGGTTCCCTACAGACTCCTATGCTTTTTGAGGGTTCCCCAGTAAAAATATACTTAAGGTACTCAGAGATCAGTCAAGCTGAACCTCCTAACACAACCATAACTGAATTCATATTCATCCTACCTGGGCTTCTCCCCTCGCTCCAGCCCTAGGAAAATAAAAAGGAACGTGCTGTGGGTCTTTCTCTCCAAAGCCCACAAATACAAACTTTAACAAACTCTACGCCAATCCTGAAACAGAAACAGTAGCTGTGTAACCATGCAGTAGTATGTGGAGATGGCTTTAATGAGAAAGTTCATTGCAAAGTCAGTTAAGCCAAATCTCTAGATCAATCTTTGTCAATCTATTTACCCTGGAGGAATCTTTGAAATAACTCTCAGATCTTGGGGAACCCCTGCATAAAAATTGCAAATACAAAAACTTTACAATACAATTCACTTCTAACCCACACAATCCATGTTTTGCAATATTTACAACACCACCAAAGGAGGGCAGGCTGGCAGCCAAGTTGTGCATAAAAATTCCCACCATTGTAAGCATTAGCACTGCATGGTACTCAAGGATCAAAGAACATTTTTTTTCAGTCAAGATCTCTCTCAGGTGAGAAAGGTTGTTCTAGATTATAAAAAAAAAAAAAATTAGAAAAAGGGAAATACATAGACACATCCAGGGGGACACTAGAGAGAAACAGCACCAGAAAGGTTGGAGATAGATTCTGCCATAATTGTGCAAGTAGCTAGGTCCCCTAAAGTTGGCTATCTGAAACTGACCAGCTGCTGGGCAAGCATATTGCTTACTTCAGTGGGTAAACTGACAATTGACAAAAACCCAGTTTGACACGCTTCACTGTTTTCAGGATGCTGCAAAACGAAAAAGGGGGGGGACTGCATGTATTCTGATCCTAATTCAGAGTTCTGCAAATATGGAACTGAAGAAATATATCCACTCTTCCTTCTTGAATAAAATAATTCTGCTCTCTTTTCCTTAACTGGTTGGAAGGCAGACCACCTGGAGAGAAACTGATTTAAAAAATAGAAGTGGGGTAGGTGACACATATGAATGGAACTCAAAAAACAGGACAAATTGAGAGGGAAACACTGAAATAGAAATAGTGCCAGTAAAAGCCAACTTGTGACCAAAGGGGAGGAAACCTGAGACTCCCAAAAGACAGCTCTGATAATGTGATCTTGATAAATTGTGGTGAAGCATTCTAGATTTTATATAGATTGAAGCTTTGGTAGAACCACTGCAGGTTAAGGGAGGAATCTACCTTTGTTATAGTGTAGGAAGTGGAAGTTTAAGGTTGTTTAAATCATGCGCTAGGGATGAAACAAAGCCAATGTCATGTGACCAAAGAGAAACCCTGAGGTTGTCAAGGCACTATGGTGCTGCTCTAAACTGCAAGTAGAAAAATTTTGTTCACTTATTACTAGCCAAGCAATTTGTAAAATTCTGTTCTGTTTCTGATTACATCTCTGTGAAAATCTTCATTTTGGACTGGAGATAAGAGTCCTTGGTGCTTTCTGAGCTTGGTCATTTGCTTGCAGATGTTTCATTACCTGTTGGCCGTGCGGGGCAGACCAGATAGGAACCAGATGAGCTAATTCTACTTTACTGTAAAGCTGCATTGACAGAATCTTGCAAGTCTGAAAGATTCTCCCCCTCCCCCATCTCCTTTACAGCCTGAGAAACTAGGGAGGAACTCTTTTGAGCCTCTTGCCCCGCCCACTATCCAGCTGCAGGCTATGCTATCTCTTATCTGACTGTTCCCTTGGCAGTGTCTCTTTGCCCATCTCCCAAAGTCATTCCCACATATCATTACATTACCTAACTAGGTAACATCATCAGTGCGAGTGAGTGTGGGGTTTGTTCCTTGTTTGTATACAGTAGCTTGCCCTGCCAGTTTTAGTAGGGGTGTGGTCACTATATTTACACTATGTTTATATTTTATTGTGTCTTCAAAAGAGACAATAAAAAAAGCTAAGAAGGAAACAAAAAAAAATCCAGAACACATCCTCTCCAGCATCCAACACCCAGATAAGCAGGGATTAACACCAGGCAAACAATCAGGCAGAAAACAATACCCTAATCAAGGAACGAAACCACACCCCCACCAATACTGGCAGGGCAAGCTACTGTATATAAACAGGGAGCAAACCCCACACTCACTTGCATTGATGATGTTACCTAGTTGGGTAATGAAACATCTGCAAACAGCCAAGCTCAGAGAGCACCAAGGACTCCACAGTTCAACCCTGAGCTACATATATTCTCTTATATTCAATAGAAGAATCACCTATGCAAATTTTACAAAGGTGCTAGTAGCATTCTGGAATTCAGGGATGCACAGGAAGAACTTAATGAGTATGTATCTCATTAAAGTAGTCAAGTCTTTTGTCTAAAGTTTGTGGCTTGCAATCCTGGAAAAACACCCTTCTGCTTTAAGGAATCACAGACAGGGGCTGTGTTCATATTCTCATGTTCTGAAACACTTCTGAATCAAATCCAAGGCATTGCACAGCCTTAATATTCATGGCATGCCTGAGTTAAAGTTAAATTCCACTATTGGCATGAGCAAAGCCAGCAGGAAGCCCAAAGTAAGTAGTAGGATGGCTATTTGGTTGCCAGGAAACTCTACACTAAGAAATTTCTTTAGAATGGAGAAGATCAAGCTGTAAAGAACAACTCAGAGGAGAAGTTGGCAGTGAGGGTTTTTTGTGTGTGGGGGTGTCTTTCTTCCCTGCTCCATTTGATAAAAGTTTAATAAATAAAGCCTATCACACTGACTGTCC